CAATCTAAAAAATAATAATAATAATTAGATCATCCTTAAGCAAATGCTCTCGAGGCTGAGGTTATCCCTGCTCCCTGCTCTCTGCCACACAAACGTTCCATAAGTATCCTTGGATGAAGCACTCTGAAGTCAGTTTCTTAAGCAATGACCTTTTTTTTGGCTTTGCATCATTGTCACGAGTGTCTGGCTCCATCTGTTGGAAAACTGTCCTGCTCCATGACTGTGTGTCAGAAGATGGCATTTTTCATCAAAAATCTTCATCCATTGGTCCTATGTAGGGTTGTAATCTTGTTAGAAATACAATTTAAAGTTTTTTATGAAATGTAAAACATATTAATCAGCATTGCCAGAAATAAAATGGACGAAATAAATTTTTTTTTGCATAAAAAAAAGAAAACTTTTATCAGATGACCTTTTTACATACAATTAGAGAAAGTTAAAATTGTTTAAATTATATTCTAGTGAGATAGTATTCCCCCCCACTCCTGAATCAGATGGCAGCTTCAGCAATGTGTTGTTTCAGGAAATGTGGAATATTCAGTGACGAAAATGCATGAAATATTGACCAGAGGAAACAGAAAACTTGTTTTAGAAAAAATATTGTCCCTATATTTGTTTACACTTCTTATTTTTAAGCAGTTTTCTTTTATTTAATGTGCTCCTTAAATGACCATACCATTGTAATTGAAAGTCTGAAGGATAATTTAAATGTTAGATCAATCCTGCAGGTTTGTCTGGGGGATACCTACAATCTGCGGAAAAGATTTGCATTCAAACCAACCCTGCAAAAATACTCGTATCAGGAATTTGTTTGACCATTCTGAAACAAGCGCGTTTAGAGGGAATAAATTGACCTTTAACTAAATGGGCCGTTAATGCATGCAAACACCGGAGGGTTCCTTTAGCTTTTACGGTGCAGCTTTAAATCACCCTTCACAACACAGTGGTGCAGAAAAGGCAAAGTTAAAACTGTTCTCCTGCACATCTGTGGCCCAATTTGTCTAAAGCAGAGGCGACACACAGAGAAGAAAAGGATTTAAACGGAAAACAGTGAAACACTTATTCTTGTGATTCATCATAAATCTTTCACTTCGATTAATTATTTGAAGAAAACAGTTAGGAGATGTAACTTAATGAAATAATCCCCCTTAGATCCCATTTGTTTCAGCTTTAGTCCTAAAAGTACGTTAGATTAATGAAGCTGGAGGGCCTTACATCATAATGGGTTTTAACGGTAAAATTATAAAAGGCCTGCCTAGTGACTGATGAGATCTCATGCTTCTGTTGTTCTAAGCAAAGAGATTTACAGTGGGCTAAAAATGACAAGCTTACTATAATTACTCATCGTTCAATCTGTCTTATGAATCCATCCGTCTCTTTCTCCACGCAGCGTTTTTTTTTTTCTTCACAAACGCCCATCACAAGCAGTAACTCCGAGATGGACACTTATACACTCTTGCCTTCGTTATATTGATCCATGCTTACACAAGCGTTAGCACTCACTTAGAATGAGCAGACATGTCTTCACCCGAACATAGAGCAGAGCTCACTTCTTTAAAACATGCAACATGCGAGCAAACTTCCCGCTAAATGAGCGCGTGCCTCTGCTCTGGGCTGCCTGATTCCCCCAAATTGAATCACAAAGCAGCTGAGGCATTCATCCAGTCTGTGTGATTTAACAAGGTCCACGCCGTCCCGTCGTAAATCATATTAATAATCTCACATTGATTTTTTTTTCCTTTCTTTTTTGCGTGTTTTTAAGTCGGCATTGAAGCATTATTCTGGTTTGATTAACACAAACGCACACAAAGAAAACACATGAAGCTGCTTTTCCTCTCACAAGTCTTTATTCATCCGTGTAGAAAAAAAGAGGACAGACCAATAAATGAAACAGCATTTTGTACTCTGATTTGTCTATACATAAGAGTCTTTTCAGTATCACATCTGAGGAGATTTTTAAAGGAAAGATTTTCTAGAAAGAATAAGTGGTAGCTTTACTGCTCTTTTAAAACTGATAGTACAAAAAAAGAAAAAAACAAATACAAGAGTAGAGAAACTAAAAAAACAACAAAAAAAGAACCACAGCAGAGCTCCTCCGTTATCATCGGCACACAGTAACACAGGAAGGAAAATCAGCTGAGTACAACCAAAGAAAGAGGGAAAGGGCCTCATTGCTTATATGCTCTATCTAAATGTCCCCTCTACATCCCCCTTTCTCCATCATCTGAACATCTGGCTGTATTAAAGAAAGGATTTTCCATCAAAGTTCCTCCTGCAGTTGGGTGTGTTGGCGGGGTCAGTGAGAGGCGGTCAGAGAGCCGTTCTGTTGAGCTGCACAGTGAAGCGGTCGGGCTATTAACAGGTCCTGTGTTTCTCTGCTGAGCTAAGGCCGTAAAACTGAAAAGCCTGAGTCAACAGATTTACTGTCAACAATTTATCAGCTTACCTTGAATAATTTAGCTCAAATGAAGATTTCAGTGCTAACGATTTAAAGAAGACAAGTTGAAAGGGCTCCAGTTCTGGAGTTTGTTGAGGCCTCGATTTAATGGAGCATGATCTCGGCTGATTTATCGGCTGATTGGTCCAAAATGCGGGAGGACATTGGGATGTCTTCAGTGGAAACAGGGCTTTTACTGTAAACTAGGACACATTTTTTTTTTTTTATTATTTCCTGTTCATCATCTGTAAGAATGGCCAAAAGTATTGGTTTCATTAAAAGCCAAACTAATCAGACACTAATGATTACTTTTGAAGGCCTAAGTTTTGATACACCAAGATTATAACGGCAGTTTGTAAAAACCTGGCAATGTCTTTGTACACATCTAAATGATAAATTCCCTATATTCGGGTTAGATGTGGGGCAGACCTGTGACGCTATTTAAAGGGAATACCTCAAATACACTGTATCAATTAAAACAAACCTCTTAAGATATCAGGAGGAGAATTATGGACCTCTGCATATCTTCAACCTAGGCATGCTTTCTAGAGCTCTGAAAGCCCATATTCATCTGGTCAAACATGACTTGCATGAAATTACATGGGCTTAAAGTTACTCCAAAGCAAAAAACAAAACAAATTCAAGTTACACCTTGCAGATGCACTAAGGTACAACACCTATTTTGCAGGCATTTTCCACGATCTGAAATCAAAGCTCAAGTCCATTGACACAGTGTATGTGAATTTGTGGTTTAAAACCTCTCCTTAAGTTACTGGTAAATTCTTTTCACAAGTTTCTTTTCACTAAAAGGCTAAAAGGGCCAAGATCACATCTTTGAAGCTAAACAGAACATTGTGTTTTTCAATAAAAACGTTTTATTCCAGGGCATAAGTCTATAGCTTTATATACTGTGCCCATGAAGACTCTGGTAAAACATTTAAGCATTGTATAATTTACTACTGCAGATCCTTGGATCTCAAACTGGAAATCTCCATTGGTGAACATTTGACAGCTTTAAGAGGAACTAATAGAATTGATTTCATTTGAATTGAAGCTCAAAAAGTCCATTAGAATTTTTGTTTAAGGTAATTGATATAGCTGGAAAATAGATATTTACTTTTAAAAATGTGCATCTAGGATTTTCTTTTTAAGCCGAGAACAATTAATGGTGGATTCTTCTGCCGCACTTCATCTAAGTCTTAGCCTGGGTCTCAAGATGATCTTAAATCCCAAAGTAATTCTGATTTTAGCTGCAAGTTAGAAAACTACTATTTATCAGTTGTTGTTGTCTGTGACTAAACTAAATACTTTAAGCAGTATTTGCTTTTAAATATGAAGGCATTTGATTGACTCAAACCCTAATAGATTAGGCTCAGAAGAGGTTTTACATGTCTGTATTTTTCTATGAAAGATTTAATGAGATGCAAATAGCCTCAATAAAGCTGTTACCCCCACATGACAGCCATATTGGATTGTTTTTTTCCTCTTTTAATTCTGACTTCATGAGGACTTTGTGTTTAATATTAATTTTGAATATTTTTTATTCAAACATGCAGTAATAATAGGTTTACTTTTCGTTGCTCCTTTCTTTTTGTCAAACCCAACAAAGTAAAAAAGTCTAACTCTGCTTTCTTGACATAATTTTAAAAACTTGGTATTTATATTAGGGGTACTTTATTATTATTATTATTATTATTATTATTATTATTATTATTATTAACTGTTGACCCATTACATGTTAATTAAAAAAATACTGTGGTTTTATGTGTAACCAGACTACATAAAAACATGAATATCAAATTGCAAAATCACATTCAGTTTAATGTGTATTTTTTCTGTTTACATGTTTCCCCACAATTAATTTTTCCTAAACCATTGTAAATAAACCCAAAAGAATTCAGACAATATAATGTCCTCCACCGAAATAATATGCTGCTCCAGTTTATTTACAGATTTAAAAAAAAGTTTGGCTTTTCTGTTGGAGATAAATGAGTTGCTATTATAAGATGCATGACTAGTTTCTTTCATGACTGTTGGAAGAAATAATTCAATAAAGAGACCAAGACAAATTAAAAACTGGGTTCATGCTGTTCTCCTTTTTTTCCATTTGCCTTGATTGCTTGGGTATTATTTTACCTTTTGTTTCTTTCTTGCTTGTGTACTTTTATATTTTGAAATAGACTTAGCTATATAAATCAAACACAGTTCAGTCAGGTTTTTTTGACAGAATCATGCAGTCTTTTATCACTCATATTCACTGGAAGCAGGGGACACGCTGAGGGCCAAATTTATCTGTTTTTTAAGATGAAGAAGTCACATTATTTCAGTTGTCATCCCTCTTCTCCTCGATCTCCTTTTCTTTTTGTCCTTTTTTTGCCTCCTGCTGCTTCATTGGCCACATGCCCCTTTTAACTTAACTCCTGTGTCTTCTCCTTCCTCGCTCTCTGCCATAAGCAAACCACCTCTCTGAGATACTGCATCCCTCTCAAACAACACCCCTTTCTCTTTCCCCCCTCCTCATTTTTTATCTTTTCTCCATCCACCCATCTATCTATCACCCCCCCCCACACACACACACACACACACACACATTCCCTCTATCTTTCCCACTCATTAGTCTACCCATGCTGTGGTTTGTGTCTCCCATCTTTGTCAGCGCTGTTGTCACCGCTGTCAGCTCCCTTGGCGAGAACAAAGTCGTCCTCTGCTCACAGCACCACAAAAGATACGATAGGAATAAAAGGAGAGGAGCTTCGGCTCCAAAAGGAAATGAAAAAAAAAAAAAACTAAAAAAACAGGCGGAAAGATGGAAAAATTAAAAAGGGAGGGAGTAAACCATCGGAAAGAAGGGAGCTAGGAACACATCTTTTCATGTCAGCCATGATGCATTGTCATCTGTGAATTCTAACAACCATTGATTTCTCCTTTCTCTCATCCATTTTATCTTTACAGCACAGAGTTTACAGTTGGAAAAGATATGAGTGCTATCTCTATTCACATCAAGTGCCTTTTCCTCATATTATAAATATATATCCTGCTAAATCGGCTAAGCCTAATATATCAACCTCAAATAAGTTACCATGTATTGTTATGAGCTGAGAAGAGCAGTAGGTTTAAAAGACATTGAGATATCCAAAAGAGAAAACATAACAATTTATAACAATAAGCAGTGCTGAGAGAAGAGCCTACTGTATAATGGGACTCTTGCTTCTGCCGCTCATTAACATTGTCCCGTCATTGTCATCTACTAAGCAAACCAATCGGAATCAAACCATCAGAGGCACAGAGGGTACTTTGGAAACCAAGGGCAAAATGCCACCAGCTAACAGGGCTCTGGTAGCTCAGGCAGTGTGCCCTGCATCATCACGTGTAAGCATAATCTATGTCAGGGATGCCACCCTCTCTGTAACCACGGTTGGTACCATAAGTGACATGATGGTGGCTGGCTTGACTTAGGATGGTTCCATTGAGACTGCCAGTTCCATGGTTGCTTCTATAGGTCCCATTAGCTTGGGAGGAAGAGGAGGAGGAGGAAGGAAAAATTGTGTGGATGTATGTAACATCCTCTAACTTAGGTTGCAGGGACTGATGGGCCATAGCTGTCATCTGAAACCCTGCAGGTGGGGCTCTGATCTCTAGGATAGAAGTGTCTTTCTTGGTGCCTGACTCTACATAATCATCATAATTTTTCCCACCCCGTCCTCTGCTGTATGTTCCTGAGTCCCCAGACATGTAACCCGACCTCTGTCCATACCAGCAGAAGATGGCAAAGATTAAGAGCAAGCTCACCAATGCTGTGGCACCCCCTATAATTCCAGCTAATGGCAAAGCTGTTAGCTCAGTGTCCTGTCCGTCTTTGTCTGTACCCTCCACTCCAGAGCTGGCATCTCCAGTCTCTATCTGAGCACAGGCTGAAGCTGAGTCTTTACTGTCTGTGTCCAAGCTTCCACCTCGCGATGAACCCATGCTGGATCCACCAAATGAGGCCTCCTGTCGTAGTGGCACAAGGCAGATAAGGTAACGTGAACGTGGAGTTAGCTGGGTAAGGACATACTGCCTCCTCTCTCCTGGAACCAAAGTCTCCGTCATTGAGCCAAGAGCTGCACTGCTTCCCATTCTTAGCCATGACAAACGAAAGGAGGGTGCCGGCTGTGGGTACAGCCAACTCACAAGGACACTGTCTGAAGAGAGAGGTTTCACAGTCAATTCTAAGGCCTCTCCAGATACTTGTCCACCTTTCCCTGGAGGCAAGGGCATAATTAGGCCAGGTCGCTTAGGTCGCAGAATGAAGAGAGAACCTTGTGTAGAGACCAACAGAGGTGCAGTAGTAGTGCTTTCATGGGGGATAACTTGACTCTCCCCAACATCATCTTCTGCTTCTCCATCTTTCTCGACTGGGGTCACCACTTCTCCAGGACTGGAACCTGCTGGTGGGGGTCCTTCACACTGCTCCATTAATGATGTAAGATCTCTGAGCGTCTGGCCTCGTACAGACTCAGGCCCCTGACAGATGAGGCCTCTGACAGTCACTGCCGACCCACGACCATGCAACCAAGAATGAAGCCAGCGAAGGTTGCAACCACAGTACCAGGGGTTTCCTCTTAGAAGCAACAGCTCCAGGCTCTCTGTGTCTCTCAAAATTCCTCTAGGCAGACTGGTCAAATTGTTTCCTGACAGGTCCAGTCTCTGCAAGTGCCTCATCCCTTCCAATGTTGCCCTTGGTATGTGGGTCATCCCGTTATCTTGTAAGTGTAGTCGTACCAGGTGAGCTGAAGGTAGGTTGACTGGTGGAGATTGCAGAGCGTTCCTGACTAGTGACAGCTCTGTTAGGTTGGATAGACGAGAAAAGGTATCATCTGCGATGCGCGTGTTAGCCAGAAGATTTCCATCCAACACCAGACGTCGTAGGGAGGAAAGACCACGGAAGGCGTGCGTTGGTATGGTGCTTATCCTGTTATCATCCAGTCGCAACTCTTCCAGGGATGCTGGAAGGCCTGCTGGGATGCTTGAAAGGTGATTCCGGGACAAAAACAGCAGTCGAAGCTTTGGGGTCCCTGAAAAAGCTCGATCCTGAATGCTAACCGTTGATATTGAGTTATCATCCAAGTGTAAACGTTCTAGTAATGGTAATTTTGACAAAGCTGATCGCGGTAACGTTCGTATATTATTGTCTTGCAAATGTAGCTCCGTCAAGGATGGTGGAAGGTGTATTGGAAACTCATCCAACTGGTTGGCATATAGGTAGATCACTCGTATAGAAGTGCTGCGTTCCAATGACTGTGGCAGCCCGGCGTTGCTCAGCCTGTTGCTCTGCAGGTAGAGAATAGCAGCCGTTAATGGCAGTGGAGGGATTATACTCAGGCCACGGTCATTGCAGTAGACAAAGCCCTCATCACATCGGCACACGGAGGGACAAACAATGCCCTCATCTCCTTCGCCCGTTTCCATGGCGATTGCAGCAGCTGCCAGCTCCAACACCTCAGCCAATAAGGTGAGGACCAGGAGGAGGAGAAAGAGCCAATCGCGAAGCTCAGCAAGACTTTCAGCTGCCATGATGGGATACAGCTCCTAACCAAAAGAGAGGGAAAAACTAAATTAATACAAGAAGAGGTCAATCATTCTAAAGCCAAAGGGCACCTGACATATTAAATTCAAGTAAAAAGAAACTGGACAGTTGAACTTTTTGAGATTTCCAATTTTGAAACTTCCACCTGCTGGCTAAAGTTAAGCCTTTTATCTCAAGAGCTGAAAAGAGTTGAGAATAGAATAGTCAGATGCCCTGAAGAGAAACTGTCCAGTATTATGTGGGTCAAAGCGACGAAGCAGAAGACAAAGTGACATTTAGATGCAGTGGGTGCAAAGAGGGGTGGGTAGACTGGCAATACAGATTATAAGAATCAGAGAAAGGAAAGAGACAACAGAAATGGAGAAAATTGGACAGTGACAGTTGAAATGGGGGAAAATAAGTGAAGAGGGCTTTATTTCCTGGGAGGTTAACAGAGCTGGAGTGAGTGACACGAAAATAAACTGGAGGATAGATCAGGGAGAAGGAGATTAGATTAATTGGCTGCGGCAGAATGATGGATCTGAGAACAACAAGTATAAAAGTTGCTGTGACAGCACTAGATCTGACCCTGTCAGAAAATGAGCATAATAACTCAACAGAGAAATATAATTTTACAGATTTCTGAAGGTTTAGTCAGATGCAGCCTGTGCCCGTTTGAGGTCACAGCCACTTGGTGCGTTGCTCGTTCAATATATTGGTAATTAACATACCAAGCAGTAAGTACTATTCTTTTTTTTTTTTTCATCAGTCAGTTATTGTTTAATATCTATAATTTATTCAATAAAAGGTTTCTTGAATTTCCCCTTTATCCAGAAAATCATCAAAATAGCTCTGGAAAAATATTTTTACTTTGTGTTGCATCTTCATATTTCAGGTCATCATATAGCCTTTAATTTAAGAATACCATGACCTCTATTCATTTAGGTTTCAAAGATAAACAGGCTACCTGAACCATTAGTTGTATCTGGCAGGGGCATCCTTCAAATGTTAAATTTGATTGAGTCTCTTACATTGAGTTTTGATTAGTTATTCTTTATTTATATGTGTTAAATTTCTTCTTAGCTTGGTCTTATTAGGTATAAAAATCCTTATTCATTTTTAGTGTCTTTGTTAAGCAACTTCTGAGTCACCAATGTGCTTCAGATCCTTGTCTCAATGTTTTACCAAAGCTAACCTGAGTTTGGTCAGAGAACGGTCTCCTTACATCTTTTTCAGGGTAAATGAAACAGTCTACCAGTGTAATTTGTTTGTATGCTTTTTTGTTGTTGTTTGAAAAGCTGAATTAATTTTATTCCAGCTGCAACTGGACATTTTCCTTCCAAACCTTTCCTCTATTTTGCCACCTCTCCCTGAATGAATATTCCCAATGTTTTTTTGGATAATCAAGATCTTTTTGGTATATGTGAGACCAACCCTAACCGAGGCATATTGCCTGTGTTTATTTAAAAATTTTTTACTTACTGGAACCATTAACAGTAGAATTTGCTTTTGAAACCAATACATAAAAAGTTTGGATTTATCAGTCATAGGTGGGCAATCTGTTGATAACATTTCCCCCCAGATAGATTTAAGGAAAATTGGCTTTTCCCTCTTAATAAGGTGAATAACCAGCATTCATTTATTAAATAATTCGAGACATTTTCAGATTTTTATTTATTTATTTTTTTTATAACTCTTTATATTTTAGGTCACTATTTTATATTTTTTAAACAAAAGAAGTCTTGAATCAAATTTTAATTGCATGATTTCTACAATTCCAATTAAACTTCTTTAGCACTTCTGTTTGTGCAGCTGGAGTAATGTACAGTAACAAAATTTGTGGAAATTACATTTTAACTGATAAACCCTTTGTTATGTGGGTAGCCTGAGGCTGAAATATGTGCCCTGATGTGAAAGGCCTGACGTGATTTGACAGCACATTTGATAAACAAATCCTCCACAGGCAAGCTTTCTCTCTCTTCCCCCCTTTATACCCACACGTGTGTGTTCGTGTGTGAACTCTGTGCTCGATGCAAAATTGCCCCTCGGCTGCAGTCAAAATCCATGCAAAGCAAACAAGAGATGGCAACAATAGAAGAAATGAAGAGGTTGGAAGGGGCTGAGGAGACAGATGGAGACTTGGACAGTCAGTCAGGGGAGGAAAGGGGAAATGAGTTGCTGGCAGAGAAGACTGAAATCGGTATCAGCTGAGTTCGCTGCAGAAAGAAGAATGGATCCAATCCCTGACTGAGTGTTGTTTTTTTCGGCTAGATAGGTGTAAAAATAGCTTTGTTTGGTGCTTTTATATGGCTGTGTTGCTTCTCAGTGTAAAAATGTGACAGAGATCTGTATCTACAACAACAAGCTCCTGTCTCGGCCTGACACTGTATTAGATACATCAGGGTGAATAGTTGTGTGTGCTACAGAATTTGGCATGAACCTTGTTCTGATTCCCTCTTTTCAACCCTTTTTTAGCTGTAACCTGTGTTTTCAAAGACAGAGAAAGTAGACATAAGCATGTACATAAAGGGAGTGTAAAGGTAGGAGCTGAGACCAGATTGGGATGCTCTATGAATATCAACTAGCATATGTTTCGGCGCCACAACATCCCCACTTTCCTCTCATAAATATCTTCTTGGCACAAGCTTGTTTGTGTGTTTTCGCCCACATGCTAAGGTTTCCAATCGACATGTTGCTTTAATGATCTTCAGATTTTCTGTCCTACGCCGTCCCTTGTTCGATCTCTCGCTTTCTTATCTCTCTGCAATTTTATCTTTGACACCGTCTACCTCTCTCATCCGCACGCCTTCCCTTTATGACCTGTCATTATATCCACTTTAAGGTTTGTTTACAGAAGTATCCCTGTCTTCTCTTCAAATGTCTCCATCTTCTTCTAATCCTCCTTTATCGTTTCCTCTCCAGTTGTTTGTTGATTCCTACACACTGAGATTGGATCAATCAGAAGGGGTTTAGTCTCCCTGCCTACAACTCCTCATCTCCTCTCCTCCTTGGCAACAGAGACCTTATTTTCTATTCAGATGCAGCAGATCCCCCCCTTCCTCTCTTTCTCACTCCTCAGCCTCTTCTCTGCTGTAGATAAGAACTGATCAGATTCTTGGTCTGAAATTATGTGACCAGCCGACACCAGTTCTGGCGTATTTTCTTTAGGAACTATAAATGACAGCATTTAAAATGTATTTTCTCTACCTGGTGCCCTCTTTTAAGTTTTTTCCCAAAAGGGGCCTAGGCTTTAAGCTTTGTCCCTCTCTGCATCGTATTTATTAATTACTTAAGTCCTACAGGTTATAGGACAGAGGTTTCCATAGAAATCAAACTAACCTACGCCAATAACAGAAAACCTTACTTTTATAACTCACCAACTCAAAGCAGAAACTCATTTCATTTTCTACATTCATTCAGAATAGATGAGTTGCATCTAGCTTTATACTTGACAGGAGAAAAGATTTAATTTATAGAGCTGTGAAAAAGTATTAACCTACAACATATTTCTTAGATTAAAAACATTCTCATATTACATTAGGATAATCTGAGGTTATAATACTAGAATCTTTTAAATTAACTGTTGTGGTTACTAGTATAATCGATTCTACTCTACTAGAAAATCCTGAAGGAGAATATCAGATCATAAGTTCGACAGTTTAGGCATAACAATTATTTAAAAAGACCTTGAATTCTAAAGAAGTAATGTTTGTAGTAGCTCAGTCAGAGTGAGACCTAAATATTTCTTAGGTGCCGTAGAAATATGTTTAACAGGCTTCTGTCTGATTTGGCTGCATTAAAACAAGTGAAGAAGAAAGAACCAAACTCCCACATTGACAGAGATCCAAACGCTATATTTATCAAAAGGATGGCAAACCATTTATTGGGTTTAGGTACACTTTGTCACTTTGTGCCAATTTGTTAAATTTCTTTCCTCCTTAATGATTTAAAATGATAATTCCAGCCGTGTTTTTGTATTAACTCTGTATATCTTTGTCTACAGTCTCCGTCTTGTAGAAGATGAATGATGCCTGAAAATATTTCCCTTTCTGAAATCCTCTTTCTTTTTTTTCTTCCTGTCATTTCATTTTCAAACAGAAAATTTGTAGTCAAAGTCTCTAATTGAGTCCTTTTTACTCAGTCACAACTTCCACACTAAAGAGTATATTTCTAGTGCAGCCTGATACTGCTCAGGTGTGATGCATTTACTGAAGCTAAAATTTTTTTAGATTTCAGTTGGCCTATCATGGATTAGGGTTAGTGGAGCATAAAATCAACTGGTTTCACTTTTTGCCTTGATGTGAGGTCCTTAGAAAGGTCGCTCTTTAAGCTCTGAACCTTTGTGTGTCTTTGTATTCTTTTTTTCCCCTTATCATGTAGCAGAAAACCACCTGTAAGTGCAGTTAATCTCGATGTGTTGAAAGCACAGCGAAGACGTGCGTGTAAAAGGTCTGATCGACCCAGTGTGTGATTGCCGAGGGCTTTCTAACCTGCTCAGTCTCTGTGCCTTTCACGTCCGCCGCAGCTTTGTTTTTCCTGTATCGGGGATTTGTGGAGAGGAGTATTAGAATGTCTGTGCGTGTGATTGAAGATGCCGCTCTGGATTTCTCTGTGTTAGCACGGTTTCACAGTCTCCTTTGAATCGTTCAGAAGTGTAGCCTCTTTCCTTCGGGCTGTGGAATCTTCCTCAGCTTTGGTGAATTATGATAGGGATGATGATAGCCTGTACTCCAGGGCTCCACAAGTAGCAACACCAGCATGGCTCAAAGCCGCCACGGCTTCCACATTTGTGTGTGTTTGGTGGGTGCTAGTGTTCCTGCCAAGCCTTGTTCTCTCTTTCTGAGTAAGGGGCTTTCAGGCCTGCCAACTTAAGTCATCTTCATTGAGTGTCCAGAGGATTAATTCTGGAACTACCCCTCCACACCCAAATGCTGCAGTTGGGCGGGCAGGCAGTCAGAAGATGGCTGACAGCTTCAGGGTCTTACTTGGAAGTCAAAAACAATCCTGGATCCCCATGCAAGCACTAGGTCATGCAGAAATAGTGCCGTATCGTGCTACACTCACTTTGAAAAAGCAGGTAGGGATTTGGATTGGTGAAAAGCGGGGAGAGATGAGAGGATGCGTTAAACAGGCCTCAAAGGAGAAATCACAATTACTCCAAAATAAGTGTCACAGTTTAGTGATGACGATTAAAATGTTTAGTCCAACTGTCCTGTTTTGAATCTCTAAGCTTCTTCTAGATCACACGGATCATCTGCAAAGTCAGAGGATATTCACTGCTGTATAGAGCCCTCTCTGAGTAGTGCTGGTACACAGTTCAATGTAGGGAGCTCTGTGCTGCAGCCTTGAAGAAATAGACAATCTTTGAAAATCCTTCACTTCAGCAGATCAGCCGCTGGTTGGGAGCTAGTAGTAGTCATTCATCTGTAAAGACAGAGGCAAAAGGAAAAAACATCAGAATTTATGTCGAAATCAAGAAAATAATACTAAAAAGATGAGCTTTATTGTTAGCATTCATTTCTGTTGTTTATATATGAAGTTATCTTTTTACTACGGGTATTACTGATGATGATCGTGATCATTTTGAAACATCACTCTTACATTTATACTAATATTAAGTGGATGTGTTCAGCTACTCACAGAGACAGACCAATAAACTCCTACAGCAACAAATAAATTGACTTTCAAACAACCACTGGCTTAACATGGCCTCTTCCTCTGCTTGGACTGTTTATAAATGTATTCATTAAATGAAAATGCACAAATGTGTTTGAATAGCTTCACAGTCATTCACTGAAGTTGCTGAGCAGATGTTTAGTATCTGTTGTCATATTTAACATTTTATGTTTGGAAGCGAATTTGACTGATTATGCACTCTTTTGTTATCCATAACAGAATGTTCTTTGTTGGAGAACACTGCCCCCGACCCAACAAGCTGACTTTGAGGTGGGGGCACCTGCAGCACAGATGAAAGGCCTATCATTCAGCTACAGTCCATTAAAAATCACTGATTAACTTTTGAAATGACCCATAAAAACCATTATCCACCCGGGAGAACAAGGCTTTACAGTGTTTGCCATCACTGATTTACTTGCAGAAAGGCCAGCACCTTCTTCTGCTTTCAAACTATTGTCACTGCTGACAAAAGGAAAACACAACCTTGAAAACACAACCTCTCCTGTAGGCTGGACTTATTGGGGAGGTATGGAGGCAAATAGCCTCTGTTTTGATATGATAAATAACAAATATACTAAACAGAATATTTTACAGTGAAAACTTATTTATATAAATTATATAAAAGCCATATATTTAAAGTTTTATTGTCATTTTAGTTTACTCCTAGAGTTAAACTAATTGTTTTAACTCATTTTTCCCCTAAGGTAACTGGACTTTGAATGAAAAGTGGTTTCATTGTGCCTGTACTTGATTTTTGACTTAATATTTGGGACCTTTTTGTAAAAAAGGATTCAAATTTAAAGGTTATTACAGTTTCGGTTGGGCTTTTTGTGTGAGTTAGAGATCCCAAAGAGTTTTGACCGATTTATTACAAAACCGAGTATGTAATTTTTTAATAAAACAGCTTCCCATATGGTCAGAATAGATAAAGTAACATTTATGGGATTCCATGACGCTGTGGTATAAAGGTGCACCTCAAAAAACATGAGTTAAATTGGTGCTTCATTTCAGAAATTCAGGTGAAAATTTAAACATAAATATTATATAGATTTAAAAAAAAGTTATATATTTCAACTTTTTTTCAGTTACATCTGAGTATGGTTTTAAGATACTAATTTCTGATTATGTGAACACTCACCAAGATGACAAAGACAGATTTTTATTGCTTCATCATTATGTTATGGCTTACATGGGAAAGTGCTGACAATGGTTGATAATTTCTGCAGGCTATTTACTGTATGCAGTGTCTAAACGTATTAATGGAAAATTCCGTGGAATGCAAAAGTGGCAGAAAAAGACAAGCAGCAGGGACAGCATGGAGTCACTACACATAAATACACTGAATTTATACAGAGCTTTTACAGCAATACTGACCAGTGAAAGAGCTCTACACCATAGCCACATTCACCCAAACACAGATACAGACGCACAGATCGGCACAATTTTAATGCCTTGTCCAGACTCCAGAGGAACTGGTTGGAGTTGAACTCACAACTTCCCCAAATGCAAGATGACAACTCTTTCCACAAATGTATCCAGGATATCTGAAGCTACTGATGCATTCCCTGCATTAATACAGGAGAAAAGTGTTTCACCAGAGCTAAGGAGAAAACCGACAGGTGTGTTTCCTGTGGTCTGTTCAGAATAAAGGGACATTTTATCCTTTTTTTCTAGATCAGGATCCCAGATTCCAAAGAGAGCAGAGAGGCAGAGAATCAAACCTGCTTTAGTTTTAGAGTGAACCGATGTTATTCCTCTGAGTGTTAGTCCACCTGCTTTCTGCACCAAAAGCACCAATACCTGCTTTCGTTACTTTGGTACCACTGTGTTAACAGGCAGCAAACTGAGCTGAATTAAAGTCTGTAGAGCTGAAAGCAACTATTCAATCAGGCTGGGATTTCTTAACAGGCCAACAGGTCATATTGATGCACTGATTCAAGCAGAAGGAGCCCTGACCAACAAAGACTCCATATAATGTCCAGCACATGGACATCTTTTAGGCAGACTGATGTTTCTGCATTAGAAAGTCTTGATAGTGGTCTTATATACTCTATATTTTCATTTTTGTAAAAAAATAACTGAATTTCATCTGCAAATAATTGACAAATGAACAGTAATATAAAAAATATATAAATTTCTATTTCTGGTAATTACATTTTTTAATTGAATTACAGCAAAAAAGTCACCTTTGGGTGGTATTTATTTCTCCTGTTTAAACTAGAATAATATTCAGATGTTGTAGCTGGAGTTTGGATTTTGTTATACCTAAAACAGTTTTTATTTCTTTGTTTAGTTTTATTTTTTATCATGTGAATTTGTTTTAAATAGCACCAAGTTGTAATATGACTGTTATATAACTGTTGACATAATATGGAGTACTAAAAGGACTCAATAATTATCCCGTCAGAGTGGTTGTACCTTTAGAAATGAAGTACGTTGTAAAAAATGAAGGTCAGTGCTGCATATGTGCAACATTATGCTCCCAACACACAACAGACCTCCCATTAAGGAAACGGCATGTTTTATGTCAGTTTTATTTATTTATTTTTTTAACTTTGAACAAAGCCGAGGATCTTTCATTAACAGCCACGCACGAAGTGCCTGTATCTTATGAAGAAAATAAAACCCCTGGTGAATACTGGCTTTAAAAATACAGGGTTTTCATCAGGCTCACACACAGATTCATCAGAAGCCATTAGCGGCTCCGCTGCTCACATTCGCCCATTCACTTCATCCCAGAGTTGGGAGACTACAAAGCCAACTGCGAGATTTTCATCCAGTTTGCAAAAACACAAACCGAAACAAATAAAACTGACCTCATTTTCCTTTCTGAAGGACACACACTGGAGCCCAGAAGGATTTGTTTAACTGACTTAAACTATAGCCTGTGTATGTTCACCAAGGGTGCTTAATGTTTAAACTGAACACCTGACAGTCTAGGCGATGGTATATTTGCGTTTTTTTATTTTATATTCAGCAATAAGACTAGCTAAACAGATGGGAAGGAATGCGTTTTACTGGGTGCAGTTTGGAGGAAGCAGTTATGTGGTAATATAAATTGTCCTATTCATAAAAACATGAGAAATGTGATATCCGGTTTGTGGATCGTAAAAAGATTTCTCTGAGCAGAATGAAGCAGAAATATGTAATGAAAACCGCTTCATTTGGGACAGAATGCTAAACAGTGTTTGTAAAATGTAGTTTGCATGGAAAAAGAGTAAACACTGCCTTTTCAAGGGCAACAATGATGTATGAGAACCTTTATAAGTTGAGCTACAGCTGAAGAAATGACCTAACTATACTGCAAAGAGTTTAAACATGAAGGAAGGGATGTATAATAAAAAAAAAAGGGATTGAATATTCCACTGAGACACGTTGAATAATTAATGCTTATGATATTAAAAGTCAAGCTCACATTGTAATGAAAAGAAAATGTACAGAAATATAAACAAACATTTCAGAAGGCAGTCAAATAATTGGGATGTTTAAAAATGCATTAACTTAGATAGAGTTTAAGGAGCAGCTGGATCCTAAAAAGTTTGAATATGTCCAAAATATAATACAATAGGTCTTAAATCATATTTGTCATGTCCTACATTTGTAGGCTCATCTATTCCTCCTTCCATTGTTTTCCAGTAGCTGTATGAAGCTTCTGGTAACATAGTTTTAATGTGTTTTTTTTCAGCTGCAGTTTAACTAATCTTGTTATGTGATCAACTCCTAGAAAATATACATTTGATTAGATTTAGCTAAAGAAAAGAGATTTTGATAGCTGGCTAGAGCCTGTCAGGAATTACACTATAAGACTGCTTTAAATGAGTCTAATGCTGCGTTCACACCGGGGGCAGCTGGCGCGACAGAAGCAGCGAGTTTACATGCAAAGTCAATGGTTGACGCGCGTCAAGGCGCAGCAAAAGGTCCCGCGGCGCGTTTTGAGCAGCAGGCGCAGCGTGTCTGAGCAGCTGAAGCAGCGCGTCGGGCGCGTTTAAGCATCTGACGCGCGTGACGCGCCGCAGACGCGTTGCTGCTCGAGATGGAAAAATTGAATTTTTGCTGCTCGACGCGCCGCGTCAACCAATCAGAGAAGCTGATCTTGGAGCTGGCTGGGAGAGAGACACAGCGCTGATGACACAGACCGCTCTGATTACTCCTCTTAAACAGTTTATTAACGCATAATTAACTTAAAATATATACATCTGCCGGCAGAATATGTTCGCTTTTATTATTCTGGTGCCTGTAGATCGGATTATTTAGATGAAAAACACCTACCAGCCGCCGCGGTAAACCGCGAGGAGGCGACCCGGCCAGAAGCTGCTGATGAAGGGATTCGTTCTGTCGGCGCACTGCTGGTATGTGGGGGTCTGAGCGGCTCCGACAGAAATAACATTGGGAGACAGGATTGTAATCTGGATGAACTGACTGCACTGATGAAGTTTTCAGGTGTATTTTCTCACTTAAACACATATTAAAACTACTTTATTCCCACTGATCACAGCAAATATAGCTGCAAGGCAGAGAAAGGATAGAGTAGCTCCGCCCAACGCGCGTCAGAGCCACTTTTGAACCGCGCAACCAGAGCAGCAAAGCTGCTTCAGCCGCGCGTCAGAACTCACTGGTACAAGCAGCAAAAATGAAGCAGCAGACGCGATTTTGCTGCTTTTGCAGCGTCCGGTCTGAACGTAGCATTAAATTAATGGGCTCCAGTCCAGAGTCAAAATAAAATACAAAATATTTGACATGATTATAGT